ATTGGATATATATATATATATATATATATATATATATATATATATATATAATTTTTATTTTTTTATGTATATGTATGCAATGGCGTAGCAAGGCTCTAACTTGGTTAACGTATTGTTGATTAACGTTACATGTATTCACAAGCTGTTTTATTTACGGTATAAATGCTTGGAAATAATATTTAACGTTTTCAAGTCCGTTCATCATTTGTAGCATGCAAGCAGCCACCCAATAATCGCAATAAGCTTTGTGCTTTACTTCTATTAAAACACAAAGTGTCAGCCTTCTGTCAACTTTATAATAAAATACTACAAACAATAAATGTGGTTTTTTTATGCTTCTAAATTTGTGATAACTATATTTGTCTCAGTTCAAGCAGCATGTGAATCAATGATATTTTCCTCTTTAATATTTGCTGCACGAAATAAACATGAATAAATATTTGAATGCATGTTGAAAAAATCAGAACAATTTAAAAAAACAAATGTTTCATGAAATCGATCAATTAGAGTTTAAAAAAACGTCAATAAGCCTACATTTTACGTTCTATGTTAAATGTAAAGAATGACAGGTTGGATGCCACAGACTTTTTATTTTATTTATTTTTATTTTTTTGGCGGAGTATAGGTGGAATTTTCACCTTAACTTCACGCAATATAACATGATTTAATTATCGTAATTTTGACTTTATTCGTAAAATATTATGACGTTAATCTTATTTTTCAACGTGGCACTAAAATGCAGCCATAGGCTATTTGTACTGCATGCAAACACAATCTTGGCACAGAAGCCCAAAAAACAAAAAATAAATTAATTAATGAAATACTAAGGAGAAATTTTAATTATTTATTAATGAACTAGTATTTTCTGAGTCAGTGTCACAAGATGAAGTTGACGATCCTGACTCGCCATCTCCTCAGGACGCGCGCCTTTAGAGAGAAATACATCTTTATGGATTAACCTACATAATGAAAGCGTTTTTGTTTTCGATTTGAATTATTTAGTTTCAAAGTATTTAAAGCATTCTATTAGATATATTTATCATGTCTGTGAAATGCAAGTATTCGCTGAGTTTTGGTTCATCATTGTGAAGCGCTTCTGCTCAAGACCAAGACGACAGAAAGCGCATCCTGTTTGTTTTCCTTATTTTACAAAAGCACAGGTTTTTGTTGATATTGTTTGTGAGTGCACACAAATAAAAGTAGACCCTTTACAATTCCGAATAATATATTACTCTTACCTTTATGAGCAAAAATGACAGCGTATGTTAAGTTTCCACTCTTAAGAAAAAAATGCAAGTGATCGCGCTGGCGCCTCCATGTCCTGCAAAGCGTGCTTCAGCTTCCACTCTCCGCACAAAAGACTGTATATGCATCTAACAGCACACATTTATCTAGGTTACATTTTTTTATTAATATTGTGAATTGCATGAAGTGTTTTATGTCTATAGATTTTATTTTAGGCAAGTCGTGTTGATTTGAGAAGGCAACATATGCTCAACTCAGTCCGCCGCTGGCCGCTTGGTCGTTACTTAAAAAAAAAAACGTGAATTTAACAAACATAAAATGTTCCAAACATATTTCTAAATTAACTTAATAAAGAAACGAAAAGAAATATAACCACTTTTCCATTAAAAACCAAAACTGGACTAGCCTATTTGCTGCAACAGCAGCTGTGTAACGGGGAAGAAAGAAAGCAAGAGAGAGAAAAAAGACACGGGCTCAGGTCAGACTCAGGCCGAGAATATTCTGATAAGCTGTCGGACAAGGGCCGGCCCGTGCAAGGCTCTATTCGTTTCCTCGTTTCAATTAAAGGTTCCTCCTCGGCTCGGCGGGCCCACAATACGCCTGGGCCCATATGCACCTGCATACCTAGACGCTACGCCCTTGTTATGTATGTGTGTATATATGTATATGTATATGTATATGTATATGTGTATGTGTATGTATGTATGTATATGTTTGTTTGTAACAGGGTTTGTACAAAAGTACACCAGTCTCTTGAAAAGGTTGAAAAGGGTGTCTTTTTTTATGAAGAACAAAAATCAGGCCGCTGGTGCAGGTCGAGGAAAAGCAGCTATTCTCAAAGCCCAAGGTATATACAGCCTCTTTACTCCAGTCCACACGTCTAACACCAAACGTGTTTTTTTTAGAGAATTAATGTGACATTAGTGATTTATATTGTTTTTATAAAGATTATATTAAAACAGCAATCAAACTAAAGTTTGCATTAATGTTTTCGCAGTGGCTGCCAGAGGCCGTGGCCGGGGTGGACCAGGACGAGGGAACGTGTTCCAGAAGAGGCGCTAGTTTTATGTTGATTGATTTTTTTTTTTTTTTTTTAGATTTTTTTTTACCATCATTTTGGTCTGATGCATTTTATAATGTTCATTTTATGCTTTGGGAAATAAATGGGTGATTTTGCTATTTTCCCTGATTCTGTGAGTTTTTCTGGTGTTTTTTTATTTTACTTAGCATGTTTCTAGTTCTTTATATATCAGCAGCCATACTAAATGAGCTGTCAAGTTTTAAGACGCTACAGTGAAACAAATGCAGTGAGAACACTAATGTATTTTCTTAAATAATTATAGCAACTGTGCTGTTGGTGATGATTGAGGGTGTTCAACCGCTTGATTTACATGAGTTTCACACGGTTATAGATACTGGCTTGCAAATGTGAGGAGTGCAAATGTTACTGGGTACCTAACAGATGTTTAACCAAATATCCGCAGGTGGCTGGCAGTGCATATCTTAATACTTTCATTAATCCTGCATGTTAAGAAATTACATGCAAAGCATATGTAAATTATATTGAAAAGTATAGTAGATGTACTACAGGCTGACAAGAGTGTTCTGACCTTACACCAAGTACTGCGGTTTCATAGTGGACATTTCTTCAGCAATGGGCTGTAAAAACTGCTGCAGTATTTGCCTCCAATGTCTCTTTGGTTATGAAACCAATGTAATGCTGGTTATTAATAACAAAGGTGTGGGAGCCCTCTTCAGACTGATCCAGTTTTTGATCATCGCCTATGTTGCTGTGTGAGTACATTTTTAAAACATTATACAGCATTTAATCTTTGTAAGAAATATTGATTGCATCTACTTGTATGCATCTCATTTTTAAGACTCTGAATAAGAGTGTAATTAAAGCTTGAAAAGCCTGAGGTAAAGGTATTTAAAAACCGTTTTCCATTTCTGGTCTATGCTAAATAAATAATTTAGCGACTGAGAAAAAAGTGCTTTCTTCCTTTGTTACAATAAATGTGTATGCTTTTACACCCACGTTTAAGCGTGTTGTGCTCTTGGAATGTAATGCAGTCTTAGCCTAACTCCATATCTGCATTGTACTGTTAAGATATGTCTGCTGGATTCAGCGCGCTTACCAGGACACAGACTCCGTGATCAGCTCGGTCAGCACAAAGGTGAAAGGAAACATTTTGACCAATACATCCATTGAGGGGGTTCATGTTTGGGACGTACCTGAATATGTTATCCCACCCCAGGTATCTATATTTGTTTGACAGGAACCCATTGCAATAGTTTCTCTGAGAGTTGTTTTGTTTGTCCATATGGCATATGCTTTTTGTAGAAATGAATTCCAGATTCAATCAGCCTTGTTTTTGCTTATTTGGTAGGGAGAAAAATCGTTCTTTGTGTTAACAAATGTGATTCCGACTCCAGGCCAGACACAGAGCAAGTGTCCTGAGGTACGATCGAACACTTCCATATGTTTTGTCCATTTTCACACAAGAAGAGAACGTTGCATGTTGAATTACAAATGATTCATTTTTACAGATTCCGAGTTTAGTCACGAAGTGTGAATCTGACAGTGATTGCATAGAGGGACAAACTGAAGTCCATGGCAATGGTATGCGTTTATGTTCTCTCAACAGTACTGCGTAATAATTCAGTGTTTCTGATGTAAGCTGTAAGTCAATGGCACAAAATAAACTGTGTGTTCCTCCTCGCAGGTGTTCAGACTGGACATTGTGTGCAGTATTCTGATACGATCAAAACCTGTGAGGTGCAGGCATGGTGTCCGCTTGAAAATGACACCATCATTCCAAAGTGAGTGTCTTTAGCAAAAGTGGGCAAGTTTGATGACCTTTGCTCAACTGAAACTGTGAATATTAATATAGTCTGTGATTGTACAGACCTGCTCTTCTAGGTGCAGCAGAGCACTTCACAGTGCTCATCAAAAACAACATACAATATCCAAAGTTCAATTTTAGAAAGTAAGTTCATGCATTTGGAATTCATTGACTGTAATTCCAAATGTTAGTGTGCTAGTGATTCTATTGTTTTGTGTTATTTCTAGGCGAAACCTTCTGCATCACATCAACTCCACATACTTAAAAAACTGCACGTTTGATCGTAAAACAGACCCACACTGTCCTATTTTTCGTCTGGGGCACATGGTAACTGAGGCAGGAGAGGACTTCAGCGTCATGGCTCTTAAAGTCTGTATTTAGTAAAGCTGTATATCTGTTTTACTTATTTATATACACAACTGTCAAAAATGTTTAAATAAATGAGTACTTGAAGCAAGGATGCATTAAATTGATCACAAGTGACAGCAAAGACATTTATGTTATAAAAGCGTTTGGTTTCATTGATACAACAACACGACACTGATAATAATAAATGTTTCTTGAGCATCAAATCAGCATATTAGAATAATTTCTGATGGATCATGTGAAACTGAAAATTCAGCTTTGCCATCACAGGAATAAATTACATTTTAAAATATTTTAATACTGAAAATAGTTATTATAAATAGTAAAAATATCATTTACTGTATTTTTGATTAAATTAATGCAGCCATTGTGAGCATAAGAGACTTCTTTTAAAAACATTTAAAAGAATGTACTGACCTTGAACTTTTGAAGTGTATTTAGATTAGTATTTTACTTACATTTATATTTATAGAAGTACTATACGTTAATTACTGTAGTTGACAGTGTGTTTTAATGTTGAAGGGTGGTATTATTGGGATTTTCATTGACTGGAATTGTGACTTGGACTTCCCAGAACGTTTCTGCATTCCCAAGTATTCTTTTAGCAGACTGGACAACAAAAATCCTGAAAATAACGTTGCCCCTGGCTACAATTTCCGGTAAATGCAGTTAAACTGATTTAGATTTTTGATTGTAAAGCTAGAGGGTAACAATTTTGTTCTTTCCCCCAGATTTGCAAAATATTATAAAAACAATAAAAGCATTGAAACACGGACATTGATAAAGGCCTTTGGAATCCGCTTTGATGTCATTGTGTTTGGGATGGTTTGTCTACTAGTCTACTAGTAAAAAATAATAACAAGCATCTATTTATTCAATTTTCGTTATCATTTAATCTCTAATGGTCTCTGCAGGCTGGTAAATTCAATATTGTGCCCACTATTGTCAATCTTGGTGCCGCTCTTGCCTGTCTTAGTTTGGTAAGCTTTTTTTCAGATACCTATTTGAGTAAAATGCCTTTGGCTCAATCATTTTCATGTTGTTCCTGAACTTCTCCCAGGTGACTGCTATTTGTGATTGGGTCATGCTTACTTGTATGAAGGACCATGACCAGTATGCCAAACGTAAATTTATTCACCTGAACCAAAACGGTGACAGTGTGCCACTGGTAAGTAAAAGTTAAAGCAATTTATACTATATGTAATTTTTTTATTTTTTTTTTACGCAAAATTAGACTTATAAAAATTATATTATTTTATACTGTTATAGAGCTCCATGGAGACAACCTCATATGGGACTCCATGATGGAGTGAACTGGACACTTTCACCGCACTTAAAACCAGTAAAACTCAATGGCCCGGGTTCATAGACAGGGCTTAGCCTAAACCAGGATTAGGCCATAGTTCAATTAGGACATTTAAGTAATTTTTATAAACATGCCTTAGAAAAAAGCATTACTGGTGTGCATCTTAAGACAAAACAAAGGCACTGGCATGTTTTAAGATCAGTCAGTGCACATTTCTTTCAGTTGAAACAGCTCAGATTTACATTTTAGTCTAGGACTAGGCTTAAGCCTAGTCTGTGAAACCGGGGGTATATGTTCTTGTATATATCCAATATATACACTACTCTTCAAAAATTTGGGGCTGGTAAGCTTGTTTAAAGAAATCTCTTGGTCACCATTGCTGCATTTATTTGATAATTTTTTAATAATTTATTAAATAATTTGATAATAAAATACAGTAAATATTACATTATAAAAGAACTGATTTCTACTATACATTTCAAATGTAATTTATTCCTATGATGGCAAAGCTTTTTTTTTACCACAAATGTTTGAATGGTAATGTATACTAACTTTTGTTTATCCATCACATTTGAATATGATATAATTTTTTATTCATTACAGTTTGTGAGTGTATCAGTGTTTAAATCACACTTAAAATGATTAGTAAATCAGGTTGGCTGTACATGCTTGACCTCTTCATTTGTTTTATTAAGTTCAAAGGCATCTGTGTTAGTAAAAGCATACTGACAGCATTTTTGTGGTTGAAACAATTTGGTTGCTTTGCAGGTTAAAATTGTAAAAATCACTCATCATATTCTGTATTATTGATTGTGGTTTATATAATTCCCTTTTAGGCATTGTCATTGTGATTGAATGTCTAATCATAAACTGAATAAAGTCTTATCTATTGAAGTCTGTCTGAGACGGTACAGCCTGATAGAGTCTAAGGCCACTGTATTTCCCATCAGGGCTGGGGTATTCTGCTCTTATCCTCCATATACAGCAACTGGGTATTACTGGAACAGCATCTCTAGGTGTGCTGTCACCAAAGCGCCATCTAATGAATTGAGTATAGGCCCCATGGCGCAGCTGAGCCTCCTCACGCAGCTCCGCTAGGGGATCCACATAGAACAAAGCGGTCTCCAGGACGGACCGACTGACAACCAGTGTAGAAAAGAGCGGGGAGGAGGTTATGCAGCGTCCTTTCCTCGACCGACAGCATAGCTGCTCCTGCAAAGAGTCGGAAGGCCGGCAGCAGCCACACTGACACCAGGCCGGACACCCAGACTGTGGCATCTCCAGTAATGGTGTGTCAGTGCTTTGTCTGCTGCTGTGACTTCTGGGAAGGTTTTCATCCACTTTTAGGCCACCACTCTGGCTGTTCTGTAAAGGCTCACTTCTGCTTTGACCACACTGCAGAACACTCATCTGAGTCTTCATGCTCGCCAAATCATTCTGAAAGAGAACAGGGTTATTACAGTTTGCTAAAACCCCCCAAAAAAATGCTACTTTATTTCAGCAAGTTGGTAAGGCAACATTTCTAATTTTCATTTAGTTTAACTTGATTTACTAAACTAAAACCGAAATAAAAAGTAAAACCTATATAGACATAAAAAAAACAACAACAAAAATAATAAATAGACTACAATATTACATAAAATTTACAACAAAAATGACAAGAAAATTATATAAAAATAAAAACTAATTCAAAATATTAATACAAAATATCATTGTATCTCATAGTATAGTTTACTTTTGAGTTAACGCAATGCCATATAACAAATAACATTAAATCAGTCTGACCAAATATTAAAATTCATTGATGAAAATGAAAGTCATCATTTACTCATCCTAATACTGTTAGGAGATCATTTAAAAGGAGATAATTTAATGAATTTCATACAATGTCAGTACATATCGACTCTTAAAACACTCATAAAACACCCAAGTATGTCAGCAAAGGTACATGCTGCTTTCTGATCATTTTCACAGTATTTTAACACCATTTTCACAATTTTACCAGAAAAATAATGGTGGCAAACCATTGTAAAAGATGCATTGACGGTGCACAGGATTTTGCCATTTATGATTTTACAATATCATTATTTAAATATCAGGGTGCTTTTCACCAAAAACAATCAGAGGACTTGAGAAATGATTAGTGAGCCACATGGAGTGTTCGCTGACACTTCTGGGTGCTTTATCAGTGTGAAAGTGAGTCAGGATATACTGCCATTGTATTGAATTCATTGTGTTCTGCAGAAGAAAGCAAGCCTTACAGGCATGGAATGACACGAAGATGAGTAAATGATGACAGAGCTTTCTTTCCGAGTGAACTAATCCTTTAATTCGGTTTTAGAAAATACAAAATGCCTTTTTGAATATTTAATAACAAGTATTAATTCACGGGCAAGCATGTGACAATATAATATGAGGAACTTAACTTACTCTGCGCTGGTGTAAGGAAAGGGGTTTTGTCTCCTGTAGTCTTTTCTTTCTGGATTTTTTCACCACCCTTAACTGGTCCTCATCCACAAATGACACACAAAGGAAGCACTGCAACAAACACAATACTAAATGCTAGATTCATGTGTACAGAATCTCAGTTTAAGCTGTATTTAGCCCGTGTAAAGCATTAACGATATAAAAACTGCACACAACAAACTGAAGTGCTATCCACTATGTCAGTGTTTCTAAGGTGTGTTCACCTCTTCTCTGTCCTGTACGGCCTCAAACTTCCTCTCAGTGTAGTTCTGTTTTGCCTCTTTGGAGTAACAGCCGGTCCCAATAAGCCAGTCCAGGAATACTGTTGTCTAAAGACAAACTCAATGGTAAACATTTCATTACTTCAAACACTTTTCCGACTTGCTGAGTGTTTAAGGGTTACTCACAAGAGCGTAATACGAGAGCGTAGATCCAATGTAGATGATTAGCTGAATGATGCTGAACTTTCCAGCCTGCGAAGAATTTAGAGAACTTTTTATATGCTAAAGCTAACATGCAAAGTAATGACAACATAGTATAATATAATCTCACCTTCCCAAACACCATCACATCAAACCTAATCCCATACATTTTAAAGAGCGTTCTCTGCTCCTCACCATTCACTGTAGAGTATCTTGCAAACCTACACGAAAGAATGAATTTCAATATCACACACAGTTCACATATTTTCAATATGATTTAAGTTGTTCACACCTGAAATTGAGCCCAGGGTACAAGGTTCGGTTGCTTTCTTTTTCATCCAAGCGACGGAATGAGTATTTGGGCAGACAGCTGTGAAAGATGTGGTTCAGGTCACAGTCCCAGTTGATCTGGATCCCAATCACACCACCCTGTGGAGCAGATACTACCAGCAATGTAAAAACTGATAAAAATTTACTAGCCTACTTTGCAACTAAATTACACAAATACACTACTGTTCAAAGGTTGTGGTCAGTAAGATTTTCATTTAAAGAAATTAATACTCTTATTCAGCAAAAATGCATTAAAATAATAAAAAATGATAGTCAAGACATTCATAATGTTACAAAAGACTTCTATTTAAAATAAATGCTGTTCTTTCTAACTTTATATGAAAAGAACAGATCACTGTTTCTATAGCCTATATTAAGCAGCACAACGGTTTTCAACATTGATAATAAGAAGAAATGTTTCTTGAGCTCCAAATCAGCATACTGTATTGGAATGATTTCTGAAGGATCATAAGACACTAGTGACTTAAATTCAGGATACTTTGCTGAATAAAAAGTAAAAAAGAACAAAATTTATTTAAAAAAAGAAATATTTTCTAATAATATACACTACCATTCAAATGCTTGGGGTCAGTAATTTTTTTCTTTTTAAAATACTTTTGTTTTTTTCAGCAAGGATGTGTTAAATTAATAAAAAGTGATTGTAACGACTTATATTTTTAGAAAATATTTCTATTTTAAATAAATGCTGTCCTTTTTTTTTTTTTTTTTTTTTTTTTTTTTTTTTTTTTTTACTTTTTATTCAAAAGTATCACAGGTTCCAAAAATATTAAGCAGCAAAAACAGTTTCTAACATTGATAATAAATCAGCCTGTTGTTAATAAATCAGAATGATTTCTGAAGAATCATGTGACACTGAACACTGGAGTGATGGATGATGAAAATTCAGCTTTGCATCACATGAACAAATAATATTTTACAGTATATTAGAAAATCATTATTTTAAATAGTAATAATATTTCACAATATTACTGTTTTTTCTGTATTTTTGATCAAATAAACGCATCCTTGATGAGCAGAAGAAACGTCTTTAAAAAACATTAAAAATCGTACTGATCCCAAACGTTTGAACGGCAGTGTATGTCCTAGTGTGCTTGGAAAGAAAGGTTTTACCTCTACTGCCATCTCTGAAAAGTTCTCCTTGGCCTCACTCACGATGTCTCCCAAACGGAAAATGGGGCAGTATGGATTTTTGTAGCGGTTATAAATGCAACCTTTAAGGTCAGTGCCTTTCATTTGAGGCAGGATGTTTCTTCTAAGAGAAAAACATAAATGGATGGCTATATTATCAGTTTTTGAATACTAAATATAAGGAGCTTCCTTCTGCCTAACATTTAATGATGTTTTATTAACAAGGTTCGGGAGGAGCACGATCAGATAATCAACCAATTTGGCACAAGTGTAACTCGTTTAGCTAATCATCCTAACTAGCACAATACCTATATATATATATATATATATATATATATATATATATATACAGCCTACTTACCTCTATCCTATGACAGTTTTCCGGCATCTCTCCTCCACCCCAACTCCTCACTCTTAATCTATTTTCATCCCATACTAGGGATAGGGGGAGTTCTCTGGGCTTAGGGCCCTCCCCCAGGACAGCACGCCAAAATATGCTTACTATTTGATCAATCAGATTATATGTAAGGGTGAACTCGTGAAAGTTAAATGTTATTGTTACTGCTAACAGTTCACGGTTTATTTTAAGGTGTCCTTGTTACACATTACATGTACTTACTATTATAATAACAATAAATTATGCATAATGACATGCAAGTGACCCTAAACCAAACCCTAATCCTAACCCTAACCATATAGTAAGTACATGTAGTTAATTAA